TCTGGAACAGACTATTATACCCTAAAGAATAGATATTGATATAGTTACTAGTCTGATAATGTTTCCCTGGGCTAATTCCATGCCAATAATTTTGTGTTCGGTGTGCCGCCAAACACGTTTCTCTGAGGCTGTCTGGTGGATAGAATCAAGTTTTTTGCCGAATATAAGCCAACGATGGTTCGTTCAGCGTTCGGTATCGCAAGAGCATGTGCTAATAAGACACGTCTGATCTGATCCTGGTTAGCAATATTCCTGACATGAGAGCTTAGTCGTCGCGAACGACAATGTCTACTGTGTACCCCAGAGGTGGGTAGTCACAGAAACGTTGACTTGCGTATGAAACAGCTTACAAAGATAGCAGACTTTTCTTGCGTCTACCACACGCCCTCCTTTTCCAAGCCTCCCGAACCCGGTATAAAAACAGAGTCAAGAGTACCGGAGACGGAACCAGACCCGGTAACTAACAAAACTCAGCATCCAGTCCACGCATGTCATTCACGCCTGGTTCGCGTCCGAAGGACAAACTTTTCACACAGACAAGTGGCGGCTCGGATCCCGTCTGAGTGGCAGTGCCATAGAGGCCACATTAGGAAGGAGACATTGCAGACTGGCTCTCTGTCCAGTAAGGGCCAGTTTATCACGTCAATGTGTAGACTTCCGAGCCACGGAGTGCAGCACACCGTGATATTTTCAAAGCACGTCAGACTGTTCATAGTGAGGAATGTGCGCTGAGTGGTGTGTGGACACAATTCCCAGCGTGGACCTCACTCTCTCCTCACCCTCTCCCGGGCATCCATTCACCGTCAGAGCTGATTGGTCGTCGGACGTGGGGATTGGGCGCAGTTGGGGACAAAGCTAAAACAGCCCGTCTGCGCCTGCCACACACGATCTAGCCCTCCGATCGACACACCAGGTTTTCGCACATAGCGGGTGGACAGATCGCGCGTGCGATATAGAGCTGGGTAGTCCACACGGGGAATGAGGCGAACATATACGCTTCGCGCTTACGTCGGAAGTGTCTGCAATGTCTCTGCGAGAATTATATGGACGGCCTTATGTGTGGCATATGAGTTTATAGAATATGTATACATACATCGTGAGCAATACAGAGGATCGTGACTATCTGGCTGCCTTAAAATTCGAAAAGAACCAAATTGTGTGCGATGGCCTTGAGAAGACGAGTTTCTTGTGTAATTTGTTCAGAATGTTCATTCAATGGTACTCTCCCTCCGGTCCTGTTCGCTGCCACGGTCCGTCGGCAACCCACTTATATATATAATATTATTTACACCGCAGCTTTTTTGGCAGAGTTAAATATGCGTGAGACGTGCAAGTCTCATAATCAGAAACTTTTTTAAAGCCTAAATATACACCTTTTTCTGATATAAAATGTAAAGGCAATGTTATTTTCTGGCATATTGTTGTTTGATAAACAACTTTACAACACCACCTAGGTAATCCTTCCTAATCAAAAATACATTTCAGAATTTCGGCCAACATTTCATGAGATCGGTCACGCACTGACTATCGGGACGTCGGGGGTGTTCTCACTGGTAGTGGGGACGGGAGAAGTGGTGGTCGCCCTCGCCGACGTTCACCGAAGGCTAGAGATGATGGTGGTGGTGGTGGTGGTGGTGGTGATGGTGGTGGTGGTGGTGGTGGTGGTGGTGGTGGTGGTGGTGGTCGTCGTCGTCGTCGTCGTCGTCGTCGTCGGGACATCAGGAATGTGGTCGCCGACGTGGACGCTATGTGAGTGTTTGCAGATGTGGGCATCGAGGCGTTTGCGGTGACATCGAGTGGAGCTGTCAGGATGTTGCTAAATTGGGTCTGCAGATGTCCGACGAGGCCGATTCGCGTGCGGAATGTTCGTTGACAGAGTGGACATGTTGGCTGAGGTTTTGCGTTGACGTTGTGGGTCGGAGGCGCTTCTGACTTTCGAGCTACACTTTTGGTTTTTGTTTTCTTATTCTTCTTCTCCAAACTTCACTGCTCCTCTCCAAGCTGTCGGTTTTAGGCAAGGTTCTTCCAAATCTTTAGGTTGACTTGAATTCGATTGTAAGAGGTTTCCAGGGCGTCTTTGTAGCGTCGTTGTTGTCCTCCTTGCCGGACACATTTGGTGAACACTCGTCATCTATCCTCTCAGTGTGGCCACTCCATCGCAGTTGCAGCTGCCTCAGCATGACCTGTTTGCTGAGGACTCCGGTTCGCTCGGGAGCTTACGTGTTCGGCGTCCTAAGTTGCCAACTCAGATTAATTATTACCTAAGGAAAGTTTTCTGTTTTGTTTTGCGTAGACGGCCTAGGTTTTTGCTCCGTTCAAAAGCGTATCAGTGGGACAGCTTTATAAATCTAGACTATTCTTTTTGAGATGGGCATTTTGCCGAGTCCAGATGAAGGCATACAACCGACCTAAAACTCAGCTAGCTTCGGAGATCCAATAGGCGACTTCGTCGAGAATTTTGACGTTCCGTCAGAGTCTACTGCCTAAATAGGCAAATTTGTTCACTGCTTGGAGTTTGTTGCCCTTGACAGTGATGTGGTTGACGCTGCATGCTGTGCTCGGCAACCGTCAGTGCATAACTAACGCTTTTTTCCGTGTTGGTGGTTAAGCCAAAGTGTGCACAACCGACTGCGAATAGTTCCATGCTCCGCTGCATATCCGCTTCCTTCGTGATTTTGGGCACGCAGTCGTCCGAGAAGAGCAGCTCATGGACAGTAGTTGTGGGAGATGAGTCAGGGACTGAATGCATTGGGTATTGAAATGTCTGTCAGTCCTGCGGGCAATCAGGATTCTAGGGTGCTTATTACGGCAAGCGTTCACCAGCATAACTGATGGCGTGCAACTGAAGAGGGTGGGAGCGCATACGCTCTTCACTCTATTAGTCACTGTGAACGCTTCCGAGGCCGTCCGTGAGGTACACCGGCATCCCATCTTTGGGTTGACTAAATATGTGTGCGAATAGCTTAAAACAGTCGAATTTCTGCATGGTTTTCCAGAACCAATCACAATTCACTGGGTCGAAGTCATTCACTGGGTCCACAAAGGCAGTATAGAGGTTGGTGTGCATCTCCTGACACTTATCTTACATTCGGCTGGCGACGAGGATCATATCGGTTGTTTCGCTACTTTGTCAGAAGCCACATTGGACTTCTTGGGAGAAATCTGTGTTTCAGATGTTCTTTGTGACTATTGAAAATGATACGAGCGAAGATCATTCCGCAATGTTGAGCAGCGGGATTGTCACAGAGTTCCGATTCACTTTCCGCTTGTAGAAGGGACATTCGCTGCGTTCTTTACACCCTGGAACGCTTTTCCTTACCGCCACACCACTTGGAACACCTAATCAAATTTGTCCACAAAGCAGCTGCCGCCGTGCCTTTAGAGTTCGGCTGGCACTACAGCGGACCCCTGTGCTTTCCTGTTGGAGAACAGTTGCACGGCTCTCATTGTTTCTAGGAGGGAAGGTGGGCGGCCCATATCGGTATTAGTTTCCATTTGGGAAGCCGGTCGATGGCGACGTTGCAAATTGCGAGTGTGTAGTTAAGGATGTTCCTGAAGTCGTCGGCCCAGCTCTTCAGAATCTACGATTTCTCCGTTATAAAAATTGTTCCGTCGGGGCTGGACAGCGATACGGTTCCCATTGTGAGGGGGTCATCGATTTGCCTGGATGATGACAATCAATTCTTCCTATCGTTGCTGTCCGTGTATGCTTTTATTTCACCTGTACATATGATCCATCAACGCCCTGCCTATCCCGCAACCATTGCTGCACCAGGCCTTTTGAAGTTTAAGGGGGAAGGAAGAGGGATGGTAAGGTGAACAGAATTACCAGATGTGGAGACATGCACAACACCCGATACCGCTGGGCAATGCGATTACCAGGGTGGTGCTGTTCAGCAGAGAGTTAGGTACCAGTTAAGGGCCGTGTGGTGCAGACACCATCTGAAGAAGGCAAGTGATATGACCTACCACATCGTTCACGGTGTATCTCCTAGGTAGACACGCCTGCACCCCGCTCCTGACATCAGCATTAGACAAGGGGCACATACTTATGGTCGATCTTCTGTTTATATGTGACTGAGCAGCAGGTGTTTCTACTCATCCGTAAGTTCATCAGTGTTCCATTATGTTTCCTCTTTTACTCACTAGTCTTCAATGTAATGTACCTAGCATGGCGTAAATTATGACCCACTGGTGAGCCGAACCCCTTCTAGCTGTGTCATGCAACGGCAGAATATCGGTGAAACACCCGCCTGAGCTTTTAACTTGTATCTGTAAATCATAAAACGTTAGTATACTGCTGGCTGCCTACTGGCAGCTTATGAATTTTACACCGTCATCCTGCTTTAGCTGATGGACTTGGGCTCGAATATTCGTACTATCTTTCGGGCTG